CTTCAAAACCGGAAGAGCGCGCTGGTCAGAGAAGGGGTTCGACGTCCCTGAGTTACAAACAGCGAACAAACCAACTCTACAAAAGGCACTCCTGCCAGTGACCCTAGGCGACGAGATGGAAATTCCGTCGCCTTCCCTCTCGTCAGATAGCCGCCTGCCCACCGCTGCGATTCGGACGCATGCAGGCCGGGGTTGGAGGGAGTTCCGCTGGCGCAAATGGACAGCAGAAGACCCCTGGCCCGGTACTAGTGCAGTTCCGGGGACCGCGAGGCGAGCGCCCCTCGCCCTCCGTAGGTTCAGCTCTACCCGCAGGAGCAGGATCCCCAGGAGGGCCCAGAAGCCGCCGAGAAAAGCGCGAAGCCGCGAGTCCAAACGCCAGAAGTGCGGAGTTGGGTCCTGTCGCCCGGCTCCGGCGCTCGCCGGCGCCGCCGCCCGCCGCCCCTCCTCTTCGCCGCCCGCACAAATCAAAGTCCCTTGCGAGGGACTGGGAAATAGTTGCCTTGTCATGTAACACATTGCCCTGATTTATTATAAAATTTTAACGAAATCATGCATATTTTAACAGCCTTTAATCACTGCATGAAAATTTAATTCATGGACTGTAGCGCGTTTAAATAAATGAAGTGTTAATTCATTAGGATTAATTAATTTGTTAAAGGATTGTGTGCAAGGTTAAGGTGGAAAGAAAACTCTTTGTTGGTTTCGCGTCTTAATCGCCAGGTTTCGCGAGTGGTAATAAAATGAAAGGAAACCGCAAAGCAAGTCTTTTCCTCGGGTGGGGCCTGGGCGGGGCCAGCTGAAGAGAGCGCCCTCGACAGCGCGGGAAATTCCGGCCCGCGGGGCACGGGCGGGTCTGCCCTCCCGGGGAACCGGGGGTGGGGGAGGCGGGGGTTGGGGTGGGTGTTGGGGGAAGAGCGGCGCTGGTTGCGGAAATCCCGGAAGTCTGGGTGCGTTGGAATCAGTGGGAGGTAGGGGCCTCAGAGCCGAGACTAGCGGGCTAGACCTCACCTCCCCACCCCCAGCACAAAGATGACCCTGAGTGAAGCGAGGTCGCGCCTTCCGGCCCTCGCAGGGCAAAGCCCCGGCTTAATGGACAGATGACGGGCCAGCCCTGCCACCTCCTGAGCCTTCCAGCGCCCAGGGAGTCACTGTCTCGCCATCAGGCCGCCGGCTCCGGCGGCTAGGGCTAGCTTAGAGTCTCAGGGGACGCTTAGAAAGAGGAGGCGGAGCAAAGCCAAACTTGCAAGCTTAGGCTGGAGCGATCTAGAAACCTTTCTCAATCAGAAGCCCTGGCGTTAGGCAGTGAGTCCTTCAGCACCTCTTCTGAGACGTCTGTGAAGTAGGCGCCCCTACAAGGGCAACGAACAAGCAGAAGAGACGTCCTTTTCCACACCGAGCTCTTACTCATCCTTAAAGACCCAATGCAAACAGCACTTCGTGAAGATGCTTGATTTCCTCTCTGCTCCATGCTGTCGCCAACACCGACTTTTTCTACTCACCGTGCTTTAAGAATCAAAATGGACCAGAACTAGCTCCTCTGCCCTCACAGAAAGTCTCAGTAAATGCCTAAATCCTTGCCCTTAGTAACCCCGAAATTTTAAGTGTCACACAAGGCACACACTTCTCCACACTTGGTTAATCCAACTAACATTTATTAGAGGGGGTCTGTTGTTCCCTCTTAAGACACAGCAGACCTTAGAATCTACCATTTCAAGAAGTGGAGCTCCAATTCAAAGTATTCTAGGCTGCTTCTGTCATATAAAACTGAAGATCCCCCTAGCCTGAGCTCCAGATGGGTTCTTAAAAGAAATCTGCATCTTAATAGATGTTTCCTCGCTCAGAGTGGGGTTCCGAGAATTAGGCAATAATGTTCACTCTGCACTCTGAGATCATTGCTTAAAAGGTTTTCTCTCTGCCAAGTATTATTAAAAGGATTGGGTTACATCATCACAGGCAAAGACTGTGTTGTAGGACTCCCACAAATAGGAATGAAAGACCTTCTTATGAGGCTTTGGGAAACACATTTAATCTAATAGGCCATACTCCATAAAAAACTGTTAATCTCAGTTTGATGTTGTACAAGTTATCATTCACAGGTACAAAATCTATGTATTACACTTTGAATAATTGAAAACCATTCAAATATACAGAAACACGTTGCTGAAACATCTTCGGGTTTAAGACCAAAGTTCTTCCCTTGTTCAGTGGTACCTTTAAACCAATGTAGATACAAAAGAAATTATGGGAATACAAAGCAGATTTGAAATTAAGGAGCTATAAATCTTAAAGTCTACCATTTTCAGCTCTTGTCTCAGCTGATCCATTAAAACAGGAAAAAACATGTCATTGTGGATGGGATTAATATTTTGAAAATTAAAAGATGAACACTAAAGGTCATGTCAAAAAAAAAATCTCGCATCATGTCACATTCCCTTAGCCATTACATTTTAGAAAGATGAGCAATCAAAAGATGTTTTTATAGGCATGATTAGTGTCTGCTTCCCTTACCACAAGTGCATCTTGTTCTAACATAGCCTTTAGGGCTATCTAACCCTCCCAATAAGGGTTAAATTCATCTAAATGTCGGAGTTAATGCAATTCTTTCTAAATTTAAAAGTGGCACACAAACAGTTTTCATCACTGAGCTTCCACTTAGTAGTGGAGTTAGACCCTGGAACATTGGCAGGAATTAAATGCTACTTGAAAAGAAACATGCTAATATTTCTAAAGTAGTACTTTAAAAATAACCCTTGGAAATTTCAAATCCATTCATCCTTTGGCCTACAGATGTGAACTCTCATGCTTGGGGGAGAAGAGTACAAGCTCTAGAGTCAGGGCCCAGCTCTAAGACATGGCTCTATCCCATTCCAGCTGTGTGACCACTAATCCTCAAATCACTTATTTTAAACTGAGGGTAACAGTTCTTGGCTTACGGAGTTTGAAGAGGATTAGAGGAAATAGAAATTAGTAAAGTGCTTGGTTTAAAGAAGTCTTTGTTTTGTTTTTAGAGTGTGCATACAATATACTTGAAAATACATGAAACCTGGGTGGCTCAGTCGTTAAGCGTCTGCCTTCGGCTCAGGTCATGATCCCTGGGTCCTGGGATCGAGCCCCGCATCGGGCTCCCTGCCCGGCGAGAAGCCTGCTTCTCCCTCTCCACTCCCCCTGCTTGTGTTCCCTCTCTCACTGCGTCTCTGTCAAATAAATAAATAAAATCTTTAAAAAAAAAATACATGAAACCACTACATTTATCATGCTATATCACAGATTATGTAAAGGGTACAAATGAGAATATGTGATTAAAATACAGTCCTGCAGGTTATTCCCTTCAACTGAGAAATGTCACAGGTTTGATTAATTTAATATATGAAATATTGTTTTGGGAAGGGTGGAGCAACGTTTCTGAAGCAGCTGGGAAATACTTTGGTCCAGAAGAGACACTCTAACCCTGATTAGGCATCACTAAATCAGGTTACACATTCTGCATTGCTATGGCACACTGTCAGTATATATTTGGATTAATGGATTAAAAACTGACACATTCATAGTAAAGAAGAGTTACAGACAGAATTAGAGTGAGGCTTACCCGCAAATTTACTCTGTGATTACTCAGAAAAATTGTAGATTTCTACATTTTTAATAGAATTTCAAATATATTACCACATTGTCAAAGATATCTAAACTACTTATCTCTAAAAGTATCCACTGACTTTAACACATCAAAAGAAAAAAATAACACACATATACTTATTGGAATATGTATGTTAAAATTATGCTTCATGTTAGCTTTTCTTTTGGGCCTTATTATTTCTAAAAGTGGAAGGCATTATTCTCCATATCATAAAAGTGATTTGTTACACTTTTATAGTTTCATTGAATCCTTAGAGTCTATTATTAACAGGGGTCAGCAAATTTTTCTGTAAAATGCCAAATGGTAAATAATATTTAGGCTTTGTGGGCCATATGGTCTCAGTGGCAACTATTCAACTCTGCCACTGCAATGTAGAAGCAGTCATAGATAATATGTAAACAAATGAGTGTAGCTGCGTTCTAATAAGACTTTATTTAGAAACACTGAAATTTCAATTTTATATCATTTTCCTGTATTATGAAAGATTTTTTTGATTTTTAAAAACTTAAAAAGTGTAAAAACCATTTTTAGTTCACAGGTTTTCACAAGAAACAAGTGTAGGCCAGATTTGGTCCATGGTCCACAGTTTGTCAACTTCTATAAGATCAATTAAAAATGTAAGTTTTACTGGTCGTTACAGGCTAATTCAATATCTAAGACAACATCAAGGGTTACAGTGCTTATGACATCCTTTATTCAATTCACATAGAAAAGCATGCAGTATTAATGTAAAACAGTACAGTATTAATGTAAAATGTTCAGTGCACATTAGATAAACAAGTCATTAGCATACAAACCATTTTTAAAGGCCTATATAGGCATACCAAACATGTTTAGAATATACTTTTTCAGAGCCTAAATTAAAAATTGTGCTTAGCTCACCTATTCTCATCTCCACACTCTTCATGAAAAAAAATTCTGTCCTACATAAAAGACATTCTATTAGCCAACTAAAACTTCTTTTTCTTAAGTAAGGAAAACAGTGCAAGCAAGAATGCTACCATGCATACAGTTTCCACAAAGAATAGTAACATGCAAACAAGAACTTCACTCCAAAAAAAGCTCCCCTGGGATGAAAGTGGATCAAGCATTTGGCAAAGAGCGCTTCTGCACCTGTGTATCTGGAACAATGACGCTACCATGTTTAGGCTCCTCCGAACCCAACCAACCATTCTATGCCTTCTTTCCAAGGTAGGCTCAATTTCTGATTTTCAACACACACAAAAAGATGAGGAAATGAAAGCTACCTGACATAAAACAAATATTTTCATATAGAAAATGTGTTCTTTCATTCTAGCAAAAGGTTCTCACAAAAAAACTGTACAAAACACAATGTTAAAAATGCAAACATACATATACAAAACCTAAAAAAAAAAAAAGTAAATGAATACTGGACTAATATAGAGTGCTATTTCTCCGCCATGGCCCTGCCTAAAAGTTGAGCCATCACTAAATATAAATAAAAAAGGGCAGGCAAAATTATTCCCACCCTAGGAAAGCTTTAAAGAAACTCAAGTGTCTTATGAGCAGTGTGTAAACAACCCAAAAAGTTTTATTTAAGAAATCCAAGTTCTGAAGACAACCGAGGCTCATTAATAGGCCACTGTATCTTAAGAGCTAAATCAAGACCCAAGAAAACAAAATACACCCATACCAGATACATATAATATTCATTAAAAGAAACCCTCTCCCTATCTTTTCTGTTTAAAAAGATGCCCAAATGAAACTGAAAAAGGACAAATTCTTTAAAATGAACAAAAGTATTTTGGTTACAGGCTAATCCACCATTCTGACTTGACACTTGACTACAGATTATCAATTCAAAATTGTATAGAACTTTTATGAGGGAAAAAAGGAACTTTAAAAACTTATATTCCTCTCAGAACAAAAACATAAATGACACCTTTCTAATGAGTCAACTTTTAGTTGCTTTTGATGGGCTGGCATTGGAAAGACTGCTCTGGATTTTTCTTTTTGTTGACTGATTCATATTTTTATTCCTCTTCTCAGGCACAAAGGAAGTAGACCAAGGAGACTGAAGGTGGTTATGAAGACCATGCATCTCTGAGGTCATCTTAAATAAAGATGACCCAAACCTCTGATCTTCAAATAGCCGGTGTGAACTGCTTAACAAAACACCCTGGGAAAACTCAGTCTGAAACAAACAGCTTGGGGGTTTGATTTCATTAGTTCCTGGGTTAGAACTGGTATGGAGAGAAAAATCTTCATTCATTTCTTGGTCAGATGGAGAGAGGAGAAAAAAAGAAGTGGGTTTCCAATCATTTCCATTTTCTAACTGATCAGTAGTTAGAGAACCTTTGGAAAGGTTTGGCTTAGTTCTTTCTTCCAACTTATCTGGTTCCTCAAGAAATTCACTGCCTTGAGATGACTTTGATAACCCATCCAAATCCACTGACTTAAAACCATTATTGCAAGGGCTCTTGCTGTTGTCTGATTCCGACATCATTGAATCCAACTCAGAGATTTTGTCAAGGTAAGCTGCGTCCATGGATGCTTCACTGGATGTTCTTGTCCGATTCATTTCAAAAGAGCGAATAGAATTCAACCTCTTAGATAAGCATGAGCCTGATTTCTCACTTAATTTTAAAGAAATTTCTCCAACAGAATTTGCTATTGTGTTCCCCTCTGAGCTTTCAAAATCCAAGTTTTGGGCATAGCTTGTGGAACAACAGTCCCAAAACCCTGTCTCTGAGGAAGTAAAACACTCTGATTTCTTTTCATTTTCACTTCTATCATCTTCTGATGAATCTTTATTACAAACATTCGGAGAATCACAAAAATCATCAAACACCAATTTTCTGAGATGGTTTGAGTGCTTTTTGGAACCTACTGCTTTGACTACAGAGCTCTCTCTATTTTCTGGAGTACTGAGCTGAAGGCAACTAAGGGATAAAGGAGTACAAGGAGCTGGAAGATCATAAAGTTCTTCATCTTTGTAGGGTATACTATCACTTGGCTTATTACCCCATTCTCTTTCCAAATAAGTATCCATACTTGTATCTGTCACATCTAACATTATTTCCACCTGTTTTTGATACAGGTCTTTGTTCTTAGAACAATTCGGTTCTGTTTTGCTGGTGCTTTCCTGCCTGGCAGAACTGCTAGAAGGTTTTGCCAGGTGAGAACTTGAGGTGGATGAGCCAAGCTGCTTTCTGGCACCATCACCTTGATTCTTTGATGCCATATCCTCCTCGTTGCCTATGCTCCCCTTGCCATCTGTAGAAAGTGCTCTCTGGCAAATGGAATTCATAGCTTCCTTCTCTTCACTTGAATTTTTTAGCTGTGCAATTTGAGATTCTAGTTCCTCTATATACTTATCACTTCGTTCCAGGGCTTTCTTGAGGCGATTGGTTTCACGTTCATGCTGTTCTACTTTGGACTGAAGAGCAGCTACTGTAAACCTTCCAAACCTGCAAGGAGTGGAAAGATAGTTAACTTTACAGTTGCAAGCTTTTTTCTTTTCAAAGTTTAAGAGTGCAAACTGTCGGGCGCCTGGGTGGCTCAGATGGTTAAGCGTCTGCCTTCGGCTCAGGTCATGATCCCAGGGTCCTGGGACCGAGTCCCGCATTGGGCTCCCTGCTCAATGGGGAGCCTGCTTCTCCCTCTGCTTCTCTCTCTCTCTCTCTCCCTCTGTCTCTCATGAATAAATAAATAAAATCTTTAAAAAAAAAAAAAAGAGTGCAAACTGTCTCAACCCATTTCAATTTCACATACCACTGACATTTCAGACCACTCAATGAACAGGTCAAAAGCAATGCCAGATGTAGTATCTTCAGAAAAGAGTTTTTCCATTTTATGTAATAATATGCATATGATAACAATGGCAAAGATCTAATAGGATACTTTTGTGGTCAAATCAGATTAGCTATGGCAGAAAGGCAGAAACTCACTGCCGACTTCCCTTCCAAGAGCCAGCTCTCTCAATTCAGCTCATATATGCATGCAGGGTTATCCCCTAAAACAATGGCAAAGATTTATGATAACATTTGAACAGTGGTCCACATCTTGAAATATTTACATTCAATCATTTTCCTATCGTACAGCAGTGTTTTACAATACATTTCTTATACAATGTCACCTTGTCAAACATAAAATGCCAATTTGAAATTCAGAAATCTTAGCAGTCCCAGCAGGGGTGGTTTTAAATACTTATTTGGACCCTTTCAATTATAGCCACTCGATCTGAAGCTTTTACTTGGCCTTTCTAAACACTGGGCTTTAATTCATTCCAGCTCTACTTATTTTTGGCATTTTACAACTGTGTGGGACATCAATCTCATTTCTTCCAACTTTGAAATACAAAGTCAGTGCTTGTGGTTCCAATATATTACACATAAAAACATTTTTACATTTTCTGAAAAGGAACATTTTAGAGAGTAACTGAAAAAGAACATATCGAAAATTCACTTCTTTTACTCAGGATTATCTTGTTTTCATTATTCCCTTAAGAATGGGTACTGGGGGGTGTCTGGGTGGCTCAGTTGGTTGGGTGACTGACTTGATTTCTGCTTGGGTCGTGACCTCAGGGTCATGAGATTAAGCCCTGAGTGGTGCTTTGCCCTCAGCGTCTTGTCTGCTTGAGATCCTCTCCCTCTGGCCCTCCACCTGCATGCTCACTCACATGCTCTCTCTCTCTCAAATAAATAAATAAAAATAAATCTTTAAAAAAAAACGGGTACTAGGTTCAGCTCAGAAAACAGTTTTGAGCACCTAGTATGGGCTGATGGTCTATCTGGAGCTGGGGATACAAAGATCAATAAGACTGTCCCACCCCAATGGATATAAAATGTCTACCTTAAATTCCATCAGAACATCAAAGAAAATTCTATCTTTTAAGAAACTGCTTCTTATGAGCCAATAAACATAAGCCTTGCATTCTAACCCCATGAAAAATACTTCTCTCCACAAAAGTTCTTTTAAGAAGCCTCTTTCTATAATCTTTTTGATGACTTAAATATTGATCCATCTTTTTTTTTTAAAGATTCCATTTATTTATTTGACAGAGAGAGACAGCGAGAGAGGGAACACAAGCAGGGGGAGTGGGAGAGGGAGAAGCAGGCTTCCTGCGAGCAGAGAGCCTGATGCAGGGCTCGAACCCAGGACCCTGGGATCATGACCTGAGCCAAAGGCAGACGCTTAATGACTGAGCCACCCAGGTGCCCCCAATACTGACCCCCATCTTAAAGAATTCACGTATTGTCTGTTTGGAGGAAACAACTTGATAAGGTGGTCTTCAAAAAAAAAAAAAAATTTTTTTTTTTAATCTGTGGGTTTATCTTTTTTTTCCTTTTCCCCCTAATTTTTTTTTTTTAAGATTTTATTTATTTATTTGACAGAGAGAGAACAGCGAGAGAGGGAACACAAGCAGGGGGAGTGGGAGAGGGAGAAGCCGGCTTCCCACGGAGCAGGGAGCCCGATGCAGGGCTGGATTCCAGGACCCTGGGATCATGACCTGAGCCGAAGGCAGACGCTTAGCGACTGAGCCACCCAGGCGCCCCAAACAATTTTTTAAAGATTTGTTTATCTTAGAGAGAGACAGAGAGAGAGACAGCACGAGCAGGGGGAAGGGCAGAGAGAGAGACAAGCAGACTCCCCACTGAGCGGGGAGACCAATAGGAGGCTCAATCCCACAACCCTGAGATCATGACCTGAGCTGAAATTAGGAGGTGGACGCTCAACCGACTGAGCCACCCAGGTGCCCCCAAATCAAACAATTTAAAGTCAAATAATGCTACTAGATAGGAAAGTCAGCTATTACCAAAGGATGTCCTTGGGAACTCAGAGGCTTACATAAAGAAAGACTAGTGACAAATAAGAAATGTTTCCCAAAATATTAGCTGCATTTTATTAGAAGGTTTTAACCTGGAATTTCAAACATCACTTTAAGATGCTACATTTGCCCCTATGTTTATTTTTTTTAATTATGTTTTTAAAACAAGTTAGCAAATGGTTTTGAGTTGAAGTCAAAATGACAGCCCCAACAGTGTATTGTGTGTTACTTCAGAGAGAAAGCTGAAGTGCCATGAGAACTAACAACAAAGGCCAGCAAAGGAGCACATATGACAGGGACAGCAAGCAGAAGTCACTGATGGAGCTGGCTGTTTTCTAAAAGGTCACTGTCCTCAATTCCCCAAAGTCCCCTTTCAATACTTTACAAGTCTGTAATACTCTGAGTGATCAGACCTTTTTACCATGCTAGTAAGAGGCCTGTGCTGGTGGGCAAATTTAGAAATGCATAGTGAAAGGACCTGATCCATTAATCAATCAATCCATGTAATTTTTTGTCTCTCTCTCCCCCGTTCGAGTATAAGCTCCAAGAAAGCAGGGAGTCTGACCATCTTACATTCACTGCTAGCTCCCTAGAACAATTCCTGGTATACAGCAGTCCTCATTAAATACTTCTTGAATAAATGTTATTTTCTTACTTTAAGATGCATCAGTGCCTTAATCAAGACAGAACCAACAGCATAGGATAAGCCAAAGGTCCTTGGGTCCCTTTTACATCTGAGTATTCTGAATCACTATATTACTAAACTGAATGTTTCATACATTTGACTGTTTTTTTTTCTTTTTTTCCACTGACACCAAGGAGAACAACAGAGAACAACATAGCTTCTGTGGCTTTTTTTTTTTCTTCTTACTACAGGCTTGCCATCTTATACTGCTCCTTCTAAAAAAAAACTGCCACTTAGGGCACCTGGGTGGCTCATTCAGTTAAGCATCCACCTTCAGCACAGGTCATGATTCCAGGGTCCTGAATCAATCCCTGAGTCCTGGCTCCCTGCTCAGTGGGGAGCCTGGTTCTCCCTCTCCCTGCCCCCCCCCCCGCCCTGCTCATGCTCTCTTCTCTCTCTCTCAAATAAATAAAATCTTAAAAAAAATAAATAAACCTGCCACTTTAACCTTACCGAAAGAATGGAAACATATGAGACTTTTGACATAGCCATTAGGAATTTTAAGCTTACCCTTGATTACTGTATTAGATTTGGCAAAGGGAAATTATCAAGTTATATAGAAATAACAATTAGGGCTGCATATCTGATGCTATACTTCCATAAAAGAAGACAATGAAGATAAGAGCTTATTTAACTTTGGGTTTTAATACTCTTATTCACACTAATTCCAGATATTTCCAGAGTACATAACATTAAATGAATCAATGCCAAGGCAAGCCGGAGGGAATTCTAACATCATTTACCATACTTCCTTTTCCTGAGCAAATTTCAAAATGGAGTATTTTTATAAACATTCCATTAGAGACCAAAAGGCTTTGATTTTCAAAGTAGCAGTGATGGCCAAAGGCTTCATTATGTCAGAGAAAACATCGTAAAGCAGTTTGGGAGCTGCAACTGATATATCGGAAGTGTGCTAGAATCCGGGAGAAGCTTAAAGTCTTTTTCAGCTTGCAATGTTAATGGGTATATACATTCTGGATTAGGGCTCCCCTTGTCCAAAAAGCTACAGAGGTACAAGACTGTTCCTGTACCTACTAGCAGTAAGAGAAATGAAAGTCCTATCAGTTTGACCTTTGAGGTATTACATCTAGAATAGGTTATCGCTAACAATGAAAAGCTCCTCAGTCCACATTTTCTCATAGCCCATTACATAGGAGTAATAGGACGTGCTTGAAGGGGATTAAAAGAAAGCAAATGTGGTAAAAGAATAAATGCCAGAACCAAGTACCAAAAGACCTAACTTCTAGTGCTATGCTGCCATTAACTAGTTGTGAGAACTTGAGCAATGAACTTGCTTCTTTAGTTCTCAATGCATCCCCAACAAAAGGGATAAAGTCAGCAAGCCCAGTAGGTTGCTGAGACCACTAAACTCCCAAAACATCAGGACATAGGGGGACATCAGGGAAATAAACCCACCTGCCCCCCATGTATCTTTGATTTCATATCTTTTCCTTACTTGCTAGATGAGGTTGTAATTATGAAACAAAGTGAAAGCAGTCTTTGGATCTGGACCAGCTTTTATGATCTGGCCTATGTGACAGTTTTCCAGCATTGATATCCTTGCTGCACATGCGTCCGATACTCATAAATTTCAGTTGCCACAGTTTAGGTAAATAATACCAGTTACTTAACAAAGTGGCTCAAATTTACTGCATTATATTAACTGTAACTAACTGCATGAAACTGCATAAAATAAAAATTTCAATACTTGCTTTTCAGTTCACAAAACAGTACATAAATAACAGATGTGCATCAGTGACCAATCGGGTCACTTCTTTCTAAGTCTGAAAGTGGATGGTCACTCTGCATCTGTTATTCAGTTCACACACAGACAGTAACACATGTAGTACTGTCACATACATTTTACAAAAATGGATAACCAAAAGACAGACTGGCCAACAAAAATGAAGGTGCAGCAAAGAAATGAATAGTGATCAATGTTAGAAGTAAAACTG